AAAAGGAGCAGCCAACCACCATCAGAAAAGTCTGAAGACATGTGAAATAAAGAAACCATGTGACTAGTTGATGTAATATGTCGGACCCAATAAAAGATAAGGTTATCATGAACCTTATCTCTGTAATCTTTATTGTATAATTATGTAATGCCATGTGTGTAAGTCGGGCCCCGGTTTGAGATTCTTATCCTAACCGATAGGGTTCCAAAGTTGTATAAATATGAGCTCTCTCTGGTGGGAGAACTCAGAGTGAAATAAACGGATTTGTTTCAGAACTCTCTCTGAAAGATCTCTCTCAAGAGATTGGCTTGAAGATCTATATCTTCTGGAGGCCTTGAATAAATTCTTTTGAATCACAAACCGATTACTCCAGAACTCTGGAACTAAACACCACCCCTGAACAATATCAAAAAACCGATCAGATCTCCGGATCACCAACGAGGAAACGATCATCACCAACACCAACCGACAGGGATTATCTACAAAAGCGAATCAGGTATGGCATCAACCTCCGCATTCGGTAATTTTATACAATCAGATGAAGAATATTTCTTTGATGGAATTATAGACCTAAACAAAATACGAAAAATAAGTTTTGATCTTCAAAAAGATGAAAACTTCGAACAGACTATACTAGGAAAAATAAAGAAACAATTATCGAGAACAAACATAATAAAGTTCGGAATAATGGTAGGAGAAACACCAGTACCGATTGAACAAACTACAGGAGAACTCATTCTACCAATTATTAACAAAGAACAAATCTTAGAACGGCTCAGAAATTGTCCCGAAAAACAAAGAAAACAAATAGCCTACATACACTGTAGTACTATCCAAATAATTATAAAATCAACATTCAAAGAAGGTATCGATTCCCCGATTACCTTTCAAATTAGAGATGACAGATTAACCAATTATAAAGAAAGTATTATAGCCGAAGGAAAAGGAAATCTTTCTTCTGGAAAAATTAAATTTAACATCAATATACAACTCGGATTATCATTAAAAGATAAAGATTTGGATAATTCAATAGTTATCCAATACAAACTAGATAGAACAGATTTCATGGAAAAAGGAAATCACCCTTTTTCTATAACCTATCAGATTAACTACGCATTAACAAATAGTCATCACAGTTTAAACTTTAGAAACAAAGATATTATAGAAATAGATGACTTATTTAAACCAGTAATCTATTTAAAAAGACCACTAACAGCAATAGAACCAGGACGAAAATCGTTGTTACGACTTAACCCAAGATTAACTATACAAGAATCACCATCTCTATTATTCAACACTGAACAATCAGAAGAAAACCAGGAAGATTACTCTAAATTACGAAGAACAATATCACAAATCAACAATCTTACAAAATGAATTTCAACGAAGACTTTATCGAAAAATTATCCCTATTAAATCTTGAAAGTTTACCATGTCTATATCATCTTGAACAATTATTAGTTGAAATTATAGAAAGTATATTTAAAGAACGAACTTATGGAACAATCGAACCGAATGAACTTAATGAAGAAAATAGAAGAATAAAAATGATTAGTTCAATATTTAACGCAGTAAGAGAAATTAAAAGAGATATTATCGAAAACCATAACGATTAGAATGGAAAAAATATATAAGAAAAATATTGAATTATTAAACAAACCAATACAATATTTCGAAACAGAAAATAGTGTAAGAGATATGCAACGAATAATAGAAAAAGAACAAATTAATAATATAATTACAGAATTAAATAAATTAATTACAATAAAAGAAATAAAAGTTGAATACTTCAGAAAACGTTCATCGAAAGATAATTATAACGGACATTGGCTCCCATTTTTAGAAGAAACATTAAACCGGATAAGAGAAATACTAAGTTTTTTCGAAAAGGAATTAAAGTCTCCTGAATAAAATAATAATAAAAATAATAATTATTATATACAAAGATAAAATTGGAATTATCAAAATTTCAAGGTCACCCTTAAAGTAAAAATGATATTTAAAGTTATTTTTGTAAATCCCCCGCCAAAGTGTGGCAATATTAAATAATTTCCTTCTTTGATGGAATAAAGACAAGGAATATGCAAAATATAACAATTTCGGGCATTACAAAAAACTTTTAACCTTTAAATTTTGACAAAAAAAAATATCAAAACTTTTTATTTTTAAAAAACTAAATTTTTTAAATTGTCAGGCGTACAAAAATTCAGTTGTGATATAAAAAAAATTATGACTCGTTTACATTTTCGTAAACGATATCAGTCGATTGTTTAATTTGTTAAAATTTAAAAATTAAATGTTATTTTTGAGATTTTTCCAATATAATAAGAAACTCTTTGGCTTTATAAAGTAGACTTTAGTAGTTTATAATTCTAAAATGACAAGCCATTTTCCACTAGTGTAGTTAAAATATTCTCTAATTCATGCAATGTTCAACAAAACATTCTTTAAAACTGATATATTAGACTATGAACGATTTCAAAAGCACCTATCATCATTGTCTCTATTAGATTTTATTATTATTATTATTATTATTATTATTATTATTATTATTATGGAAAACGCCATTAGGCTATTTCACGTTAGGCGCTTTTGGATGGGATTACATGGGCTTACTCTGTTTTGGGCTCTATTTTCTAATTGGGCTTTCATCAATAGGCCCAAATGGCCCAATGTATATAACTCGCTGGTCCTGACTCCCTGCGACTGAAAAATGAATATACCGTTGATTCCACTGAAATTCCTCAATTCCTTCAAATCTGTCAGATAAAATCTCCAATTAAAATTTTGACAAATAAAATCCTCAACCTTTTAAGCTGTTTCCAAACTAATACATGTGAAAAACGGTAATGGAAGTTTAAATATTTCGAAGTATCGTTTAGGGGTGGTCATTTCGGATTTCGGTTCGAGTTCGGTTCGGTTATATTCGGATTTTATTATAGAAAAATTATAACCATTCGGTTTTTATATAAATTTCGGTTCGTTTTCGGTAAAAAAAAATCATTTTCCAAAGAAATTATTGATTTTTTCGGTTATTTTTTTGTTCGGTTCGGTGTCGGTTTTTTCGGATTTAAAAATTTTATAACCATTCGGTTTTGATATCAGGTTCGGTTCAGATATGATTCGGTTCGATTCGGTTATCGAAATAGTCACCTTTAGTACCGTTATTCTAGAATTTTTATTTTTTTCAGAATAGTGACGATTCGAGGTGTATACAGATCGTTAAATTAAATTGTGAATTGGGGTAAATTGTGTCAAATTAATAAATCAACTTCAAAGTTAAATATTTAACACCATTAATTATACCTCCATTTATTGTGAACTATCTATGTATAAGAATTATTGAATAAAAATATGTTCAAATTAAATTATATCTGATATCAATTGATGCGGAAGTAGAATACCAAATCTGATTTGGTTCAAATAAAAGCACGATCATCGATAGAAAAATTTATCTGAGGCGTGGAAATTTTTGGATTAATTTACTTTTACTGGACAAACCTATAAATTACGTGACAAATGCCACAGGCATCGGCAACATTAGTAAGTAAAAAAAAAACCATTGGTTATTCAACTATGTGGCACCAATTTATCGAACTAAAAATAAATATAAATATATAATGTGATTAAAAACAATTTTAAAACAATAGAATATTTTTTGTAAAATTTAAATTCACATTATTATAATTCAATTGAATCTATTTTTTTTTAAAGGAAAATGGAATACATAATTACAGCAAAAGAACATATATAACAATGTGATCAAGAGAGTTACAGACAAAAAAAGAAACTACCTGGGAATATAACAATGTAAGAAGAACAATGCCTGAGCTTTTTTATATTTACAGAATGACAACATACGATACGATCATAATTACCTGATCGAATTTAATAATAATAATAATAATAATAGTAATTCATCTTTATTATAACAATAACTAGTTTTGAGATTTTTAAAATTGCAACCAAAAACTGAAGATTTTGTCTTGTCACGCCCGAATCTTGGAGTTGGATTTTGTTCGTACTTCGTACAATGAAAACGAGGCTCCATGCATGCTTTATATGCCATTCGTTATCTCCGGTTTTTGTGTGTGTGTGTATATGTATGTATGTATGTATGTATGTATGTATGTATGTATGTATGTATGTATGTATGTATGTATGTATGTATGTATGTATGTATGTATGTATGTATGTATGTATGTATGTATGTGTCAGTATTTGATTATATATTTTTGTATCGAGAAAAATCTCGTCATCGGGATTCGTCGATTATATAATAATGCCGACCTAAAAACCATTCGGAAACTACATTTTGCGCACCAAATCACGAGGCTATGATTACTCGCATTATATATATATATATTGACATTTTAAAACGGATAGTAACTATTAAAATTAATTCATATAAATTAACAAAAAATTATATTAAACTATATATATATGATAGAAAATGAATTAAATTTCATATTTAATACTTTATACCAAAATTTTCAAAATCTTCTCCGGTGTATATATAAGGTGTGTGTGTAAAGCAAACTAACAACCGACAAAGATTACATTTTCATTTAAATCATTCTCTTATTGTATAAACAGGAAGTTAGGTTAGGTGTGATATTGGTCTCTGATCAATGTGATCATCAATTCGGTCTTTTATTCCCCACTGAAAATATCTTATACAACACTCACAACAACTAATATTCAATGAAACATTAATTAATTAAATCACATGTATATATATTTATATATATATATATATATGCACTTTCAGACTCTTGAATTGATTCGAAATCAAACCAATACCACTAAAATTAGTTTCACATGTATAAGATAATATTATATTTATTAAATAACAACGTTGCAAAAAAAAAAGACTAATGATGGTTACACCAAGTTGATTAATTCAAAATTCCATTACAAAAAAAAAAAGTACATTAGTTTGACACCGTACCATACCACCATTGACAAGATCAACTAGAAACAATATATTTTTCTTGTCTGGTAACAATCTACCATGCACTCACAAGAAATTAAAATCCAAAACCCTAATTCCAAAAAAAAAAAAAAGACAATGTCTTACATCAAATTAAAGCACCACTATTAAGCAGCCCATGCCAAGAAGAACTCGTAATCGCATTATCGCCACTCCAAATCTCTCTTCCTGAATCGATATGATGATAATCGACACCTCCCAAGTTCATCGTCCCAAGGCTTTCTCCATTCATCTGCCATGGATATCCCCACAAGGCCCTGTTTGGATCTGCCGCGACCTGATCCAAACTGCCAGCGTTTGCGTTTCCGAAGGCGAAACCCGAGCTCTCCGCCGCTCCCCCTCCGTTCTGGCCCATCATACCCGAGTTTCCCAAAACATCACCGACGAAAGAGCTTCCGAATTCCGTGGGAAACCCTAGTTGTGACTCCAGAGGCTGCTTGCGGAGCAAGGCAAACGCCATGCCGAGGTCAATTTGGTCATTGTAGCCACCATAACTCGCCGATGAGAGCGTTTTGGCGTCGTGGGTCAGATCAGAAGTTGTTCTGAGCCTCGATGTCGAGGAGGAAGAGCGCCTGTTTTTGCGACAGCCGCCGCCGACGGGGATGTTCCTTAGAGTCCCGCCTTTGGTCCAATATCTCCGACAAGACTTGCAGAAGTAGCGAGGCTGAGAGAGGCTGTAGTTGTTGTAGTAGCAGAACTTAGTGTTGGCGGAATCGCAGCGAGGGCATTTTAGGGACTGTTCCGGCGGCTGCGGCCGCGGTTTCTTCTGCTGATGGTCTTGCGTTTGCGTTTGCCTTTGGGAGTTTGAAGAACATGATACACTACTCATGGCTTCTAATGCTTTGTAATTCCCAAATAGCTCCTGAAAATGATTTTTTTTAAAAAAAAAAATCAAAGATTATATTCGAAATCATAAAAATTCGGAATTACCAAGACCCTTCTTATAGCATGGGATATGCATGAAAATGGTGAAAAATGTATCCATTAACCGTCGACCAAATTCAACATATAAATTCGATTTTTGAGATAAAAATTTCATGCGTTCAATGCCCGTATATATATATATATATATATATAAGCTTTGGTAGGTACCTGGTGGTGTGCAGAAGGATCCATTCCGGCTTCAAAGAAGCTCTTTCAATGATTATAGATCTAAATTTTATATATGCTTGTGCGATATAGAGCAGTGTGTATATATATGAAATGGAGATTGTTTCTTGTATTAGAAAACGGGGATAGAGAGAGAGAGAGAGTGGGGAGCAAAAGGGAAAGGCAGACATGTGTGTATATATAGGATGCAAGGGTGGGAGGCGGAGAAGGAGAGGTGTCATTTCATTCCATCTGTGTCATTTATTTAATTATTTATTATTATTATTATCGTACCATGAGGCATAACGTGGAACACTTGAGCCATCATAAGGAATACAGGCCATAAAGCAACTCATTAATTCTTTTAAAATGGCCACACTTCAATCATATAGATCGATATATATATATATACACACACATAAAAATCCAACATATACACTAATACGTATCTATACCCGTACACGTAAATGGTAATTCAATCCGAAATCAAAATCCGGTTATTGACAACAAAACGCAGAAATATATACTACTGATAATTTTATTTCTGAGATATGTAGAACTTGTCATAGGGTTAGTCTAGATACAGACAACGGATCAATATTATATATAGATACACTGTTGATATTAATTATATACGAGATTATTATAATATGATTGTGTTAATAATGATAAATGGCTCAATGCTAATAAAGGGTTTATTATTTGAGAGAGAGAGAGAGAGAGAGAGAGGACAATGATGAGGAAATGGGGGTACGATGATTGCGATCACAGAGTGTTAGGGATTTACATTTGAACTCTCTATCTGCTGAATGTGTCCGAAACCTGTTTGCCATGACCGGTGAGTTGTCTCCGCGCGGGTCCCATCTCGCATCCTCCCACTGGGCCCCACCTATACTCCACCAACCAAAACCACCCCTACCTTAATGGTATGTTTTATCTTTGTTGTTTTCATTTCAGATAAAAGAGCGTTGTCAAAGAACATACACATATATATGTATATATATACATATATATAGTGAGATTAATCTATATATAAGCGCGCATTTAATATTCCAGGATCATATTAATTTCTGAAATTCTACGACACGTTAATACTCCAATATATATATATATATATGATTTGGTGTACATGCATGCTAGCTATATACATATATATATATATATACATATATATGATCGTGTTAAAAACTTCAGATCATTCAAGCAATCTATCATTAAAGTCCGACGCCATTCCAAAGTGATTCCGATAGCGTTTTAGCAAACACTTTATAGGGAAAAAAACAAAAACACGTTAACAAACACATACATATGGAATAATATATATATATATATATATATATATATATATACATATGCATATGTATATAATACGACAACTAAGTGCGAAAGCATTGAGGTAGCTGTACATTTTGTACGTAGCATCATGATGTTTGAATTGTCCCTAGAAATTTCACAGAGACAAACACATCGTTTCTCGAAAAAACAAAACAAAACAAAACTAAAGAGAAGTAAGCAATCTCGAGAAGCATATATATGAAAACCCCAGATTTGGTCTAAAAGCTCTGTGATACAATATAGATCCATATCTACCCAGATCTACGTGCATATATATTAAATGTGTGTGTATAATATATATATATATATATGTATAATATGCTGCATACCTACATTATTGTTTTTACTTGTTTAACATCCAGACAAATATGCAGTTTTTGAAACATTTGTACTATTGGATAGAGGCGACAGAAGGTGTTATTATACGTATATACACACACACGAATGATATATCAAATGAAACCGATATGTGAGTTATATGTTATTTTACTCAATCATGCTTTGCAAATATTTGTCTTTGGTTATGTAAGGGAATATAGAACCGAGAGCGCGTGTACATATTCGAGTATTCTTCACGTTATGTACTCTGCATTATGAATCTTTCTTGCTGATTGATAGTAAATTCGTATCGGGAGATGTACGTATACCACATATATATATATATATATTAATATATATATATGTATGAATAAAAAATATTTAGTTTGTTGTTAACCTTTGTATCTATATGTTGAACCTATTCGGATATCCATAGTTGGACGATTCAGATTTACAGCAAACAAAATGTTGTAAGTACATTATATATATATATATATATATATATGATTACGTATATCCTAGATATCCACAAGGACCACAACTTTTTTGTTTCATGTTTACTTAAATCTCAAAATTTTCTGGTGATTTTAATTACCTCCGATATTCAAATTAACTAATTGAATTTAAATAGTATGTAATAGTATATAATTGTGAACACTACAAAAAGAATTCAAGATACAGATATTGTAGGTCTTTTATTCGATTATTTTACAGATTGATGTTTTTCGATATTGAAAAACTTTGATTCACTTCCGAGGAAAATGTATTAGATTTCGGATAGGGTATATATATATACGCTTTGAATTAATTTACGGAATGTTTTATTATTAATGTACCGTATGATTAAATATTTGTTTTTGGGTTTCCAAACGATGGGACCACGTGGCAAATCATGGTTGACTAGTCAAAATTTGTGCGATGAGTTGCTTTTCTGTGGGAAAAACGACAAATTCTAATTGGTTAAATTAAAGTGAAGGTGGTATGGGAATCTGTGTCCAGACAAAGATACGTTGGTGGGGCTCACAATTCTACTATGCAGACATTGGTCGGCGATGGTATGGGGCCCACGTGCCAGAAGTGGATGCCACGTGGCATGACATATTTGGGAATCCACAAATCACAGGAAAGAGACGATCAAACATATGGATCCCACAGCAAGTGGCGGTTTCATGGAGGTGCATGTGGTGTCTGTTTCAAATTTGGATGGAACCATTACTTTAAATCATTTTTTTTATTTTAATTATTATATCTATTTAATATTTATATTAGATTTAAATTAGTTTTATTTGATGTTCTGTAATTTTTTTTATTTTTATATTCAAATTTAGTTTCACCTTTTAATAAAATAAATTTATTGGTTTTTGTATTAGGATATGATTGTGTTACATATATAATATAACAATTAGTTTAAATATAATTTTTTAAAAATTTGAAATTCAGTTGATCTGTTAATACTTTCTCGTTTTTTAATAATTGACGTTAAAGATAATATATTTTGTTACTTAACAGATATTATTATAAATTTTCTAGGTAATTTTTTAAAATATGTTTTAGATTTACCCTTAGTTAAAACCATCCGATTCCAACAGAATATTTAGTAAAAATATTAAATAAATATATATATGTTTGTTTATATTTACTTAAAAATCACTTATTAGAAAACAGAGAAAATATATTATAAACCATCCTCTTTATTACAGCAAAATTGTTTTATATTAATGATTGTATAGTTTTTAATAAATTGACTAATTCTATACATTGTGTTTAACATCTATGTTAAAGGCCGAACATATATTTTCTATAAGAATTATAAAGAGTGTGATTAAGATCGTGTCGTTATTTAGTATTTAACAAAGAATTTTAATCTAATGAATTATAAGAGAATTGCATAATTTTTATTGGACATTAAAAAAATATTGGACTATAGTGTAAAAATGGAGCCGATTTCCGAAGGACCCATGTTATTCTTATCTTCATCTTCAAGCAAAGCATCAAAACATTGAAGATTCACATGCATGCAGCTGTTTTTATTTTTTTAGAGCTTGTTCGCCATCGTTTGGAGTTTTAACACTAATATTTATAGCAGTTTTTATTATAATAAATGAACTTTTTAAATACCGTGATAAACTGTACATCATTTCTAATACTAGTATTTAACATGTTGGATAATATGGCACCGCCACGTCAAAAATATTTGCCATGTAAAAAAAACTTTTCATTTTACAAAAATAAAATAATATATATTAATATAAATAGAAAAATAGAAAAAAATACATACATATATATGGTTATATATATGTATATATGTGTATGTATATATATTATGTATAAGTATGTATCTATGTATTTTGTATTTTTTATATGAATATATATATATATATGAATAAATATAAGTATAAATTAACTCGAATATGTCAGACGAGAGAGACTCAAAGACCGTCAAACTGATAGGCAGATTATGTCCTATAGAGACGAGTTGATCGGTAAAGAAGTTCGATTCACGAAAGGTATGAGAAATTGAAATTGTCCACTGTCCCGCACATATATCCTGTATTACCTTTATAATTGAGCTATCTACTGTGTTTAATCTGTTCGAACTTTGGATAGCATTCACTAGCGCTTGATTATCCACCTCTACATCACTCGACGCCATCCTCTTTCCCACGTCAACCTCAATCCAAGCACAAATCCTGAGATTAAAGGCAAAACCAATGATCCAGTTGCCCCAACTGTACTATTTAGTTTCATAGTATTCCAAGGTGGAGGATCCCAACAAATATCCTGTACAATTTGTGGTCTTTTCGACAATGACCAAAGAATTAAACTTCCCAACTATGAATTTGTCTGGAATATAGCATAATAAATGAGTATTTTTTTCACGTATCAGTGATTATCAAATTTTATTTCTCGATGACACTACGGATCTGTCAACTATTTAACGGCGGATGTGAGGTTACGAAATATTTGAAAAATTTATATATTTTGGTAAAAAAATTAAAAATTTGTATATTTAATTATACATTTTTTGAAAATTCATTTTTGTATGTTTTTCAGTTGTTTCTCCGTATTAATTAAGAGTAAACATGTTTTAAAGATTTAATATTTTTCGGATTTGAAAAAAATTAAAACTTTTTAGTTTTTATAAAACCTGAAATTCCCAGGATAGCATCAATGGCTTTCTCATTTTCAGATTCGAAAAAAAAAATTCTTTGAAGATGACGAGGTATCTGTCATGTAATTTGAGAAGTTACGCATTTTTGCTTGGACTTTTCCAAAACTCCAGACAGAATCAATTTGACTTGTGCAGTGATGAAGAGAACCAAACCCTACAACGACAATGAAAGGACATATACGAGTGATGATGACCCAGACCCATGTTTTTATGGATCTTGATTTATCAGAACAATTAGGGTTCAAAGCTCGAAACTTTATCAGAAGGAACCATGGAATGATGAACAAAAGGGGAACTGTTATATAGAGCATCAAAGTTGGGAGCTTTAAGAGCATGAACCATTATGAAACTACAAGAACGGTAAATTATGCAATAAACCCATAATTATACCAAGATGATCACGATCAGGGCTGCCATGTTCGAATCCAATCCGTCAAACTCGTGACATTATTAGATATATCTTCGATGGTATTACTTTGAAGCGCCACAACAATCTCTTCTCGGTAACTGTCTCTTGCTTCGTCTAATAGGACTTGAAAGATCTCACACTCTATGTTGTTCGTGAGCTTGGTTCCCGAATAGCCTCTGCTACAGTGAGAAGAAAATCGTGTTCGGCGAATTTAAAGGATGGATAGAAGGCTTTATAAGTATATACATATAATCCCCTTTACCTCTTAGTTAACCGGTCGTACAAGATGGAATTCTCTGTTTGAAGCACCACGACCCGATCAAACCATCGTTCGGGAAAGAAGTCACAGCCGTGATAGTCAACAATGTTCCCTCCTCCTTCCATTACATCTTCAAGTTCATCACATACCTTATGAAGGTCATGCATAATAACTTGTTAAAGACAAATATATCAGCATTGGGGTTATATATAAGAAGAACTCTTCTCATGTGAAGAAGAGATGGATTTTTCACATGTCAGAAGGAACAGAAACTTGAGAAAACAACTTGGAAATCCATCTTCTATGTCAGAAAATTGCATGGTTTTAGAGAAAGCTGCAATTTTGTCGCGATTTCGAATCGAACCCCATGAAAGAATTCAGAAAGGTTTGTGTCACTGTGTGTGAATGTGAACCATTCTTCAATGTCCATCCCTTGATGATTAACAGACACCAACCTAGATCAACAAACGTTTCTATTTCCATGATTTGCTCATAAAAGCTGAAACATCATGAACAGTGACCTCAACTTTCGAGCCCACCGAGGAAGCCAGCCCCGGAATTTTACAATTCAACCATAGATTTGAATCGGATTGACGGGGTTTCCGAATGAAATAGTGAATCCTTTTTCCGAGACAGTCCGAACAAATAATTCTCCCTCAGATATGAACTACCCTGGACAACTAGCCACAAACCCTTCAAGGATTCGCGAGACGGACCAATAAAATTCAAATTTAAAGGGAAAAATTACAAACTCACGCAAGGTTCAGCGATTTACTTTCAAATTCGAAACTCACCAGGTCTTCATCGATGATATAACACTCGAGCTCATCGTCCCATCCACTATGCAGGTTCTTCTCTTTCACCAAATCTCCGATGCATATATGCCGGAGATTCGTGGCCTCAGCCAAAGCAGAAGCCGTCGTCGATTTACCGGTCCCAGGGGTCCCGGTGATCAGTATGTTCGGCCTCTGCCGCCTTCTTCCGTTGCAATCTCCCGCCATAATAACTCCTCGATTCGCAGCAAATTTTCAGCTCCGGCCGTTCGCCGCCGGAGATTCGAGAGGGTATATGCAGAGACCAGAGAGTGAAAAAAACGACACTATGGACCTAGGGTTACGTTAAACGCGTCGGTGACGGAATTTAATTTTGCCGTAAAAAAGAAAACGGTAAATCTAACGGCGTTTCAATTTATGAATGGGCCATAAGCCCACCTAAAATACTGATTGGCCCATGTAAATATTTGTATATCTTCTTTGGTTATAAATTAATTTTTTACTATAATTTATCAGTAGAAAAAAAAAACAGAAGAATCTTGAGGCAGAACAACGTGATGATGTCGTCCCCCAAGGGACAAAAAATCCTTTAGATATAAATAGAACCACATGCGATACATGATACTATTATTTTTGGGTATGAGTAGACACGGATAAATATATAGAGTATCTGTATCTTGATTCGTATAAATATTATATTTTATTATATGTATACGATCTATAGTTTTCGGATATCTACAATTGCGGCTATCCATAAAAAAACAACATAACACAGATACATGAGAAGAAATCTCTATCTGCAATAATAAAAAAAAAAAATATCAAACAAATCTCTTTTGACAAGACCCTTTTAAAAAGAGAAAATATTCAATAACAATTAGATAAATAAACGATTGGATAGAGGCTATATCTTTAGAGGAGAGAAGAGAGTTGGTGGAGAGCTATGATAGAGAGAGAAAAAAGGGAAGAAATGCCACGGAGTGTTGGAAGTCTTGAAAAAAAAACTCTAACATAACTTTTATTTTTTATAAAATTACCCTTACCTATAAACTAATTACAAAACTAACCATATATTATTAATATTACTAAAAAGTACTGATCGAATCGGATATGTCGGATAATTTTATTTTGATATCCGTATCCAACAAATATTTTAAACCAATATCCGTATCCGATCTGTGAACTCTAGATATCCGAATTTTTTATTCGGATACTCGAAGAATGGATCGGATCAGTTTTTCGGATATTATGTCCACCCCTAATTATCTTTCATTTATAAAAATTATATTTTTAATTATCTATAAAATAGAAATTATACAATAATATATATATACTCATTAATCCCTATATTTTGAGATATATCTATTTGATCTATAGTTATGAATTGAATCACTTGAATTAATCCTAATAAATAAATGAGACCTTAAGAAGTATACAATTAATGTGATATTATTGATCCACAATCACTTGACTGTGCCCTTCTTGTTCATGATACTATGTTATTGAAAATAATCACAATTATGGATAGCCATTTCAATATTTCATCGAATAGCCGAATCAAATCGAATTGAACAAGATATAATCATAACCGAATTGAGTCCGATATAAAATCCGAATGATTATAATTTCTCTAAACCTGAAAAAATCGAATAAAAAAATAATCAATAATATTTTTGAAAAAATAAATGTTTTTACTAATAAAAAATTGGATTCAAACCGAATCGAATCGAAATAAAATTGAATCAAACCGATCCAAACTTTATTAAAATTTGATAATTATAATTTTTCTATAATCGAAATAAACGAATCCTGTTATACTAAACTCGAATCTAAATCTGAGATGGCCATCAATAATCACAAACACTTTTGGATTTTCCATGGACACGTCTTTCATCTTGTGTATGCTTTTTAACCCGTCGTGTTGTTTTGCTCCTCCATGTGGCAAAGTGAAAGGCTCATCAATTCAAGTGAGATAAATCAAAACATTATGTTATATGTTTATATAATATAAGGCAAGTTCACGTGAATCACAACGCCATCACCAAATAATAGTATTATATACAAAAACAAACTTTATAATTCATTATATTATAATTCTTATTTTCGTAACTGCTTTACACTATACAACACATAACCAATATTAGTTTAAAATAATAGCGCAATTATTGATAGGTTGATAGCTACTTTTGTTGTATTAATATATTAAAACACTTACAATACAAATCGGAGAAGTTGTAAATGGCTCGAGTGATATATATTCTGACATATCTCAAGACAATTTCATAATAGTTCTTTGAGAACGAATACAGATATTCAAGATCTCGTTATCTTAAAATATGTTTAAATTTAATAATATTCCTAATTGGGAAAAACACCTTATGAATTGTGGGATTTTTTTCTTTTATTTTAATTGAATGAATAAATTACGAAGATTTCATTCATCTTAAAATATATTTAAATTTAATAAAATTCATAATTAGGAAACACCTCTGAAATTGTGGATTTTTTTCCTTTTAATTTATACTCATTTTTTTTATAACCATAATGGTTTCCCGGGTCTTCGGTCCGACTACATCCACCCTAGACCCGAGTATATGGACCATTTTGAATTTATACTAAATGACAACATGTAGTTTTTTTTTTTTATGTAGATTTTTTCTAAGATTTTTGCCTACATAATATATGGTGTATTTTCGTCGCCCAAAAAATATCTTCCGTACTTGAAAATTGAAATAGCATTTTATTAAATTTCATTGAATAATAATATCTGAAAACTATCTGATAAGTATATTTCTTTAACCACTAGTTTTTTTTAAAAAAAATTGTCCTTTTGGTTGCGCTCCCCTTGATCACACATTGGACGGCAGATGCTATACACGTCAGTATACACGTCAGCAACTTCAGTGTTCGAAATACGTACGCCAAGCAAGACCAATCATATTGTGCCACGTGTTCCTATCGTCCCTGCGTTTTGGGAATGGCCCGCGTTTGACAATATGGATCATCTAATCTCCGTGATATATATCTTCTTCTTCTTCCCCCTCATCTTGCGTTCCACACGCAGAAACACTGAGAAGAGTGAGGACGAGAGTGAGAGAGAGAGCCATGGCTGCGAGACTATCCCTATCGCCGGCGATCCTGATGGTCCTCATCGTCTCCTTTGCGGCGGCGGAGATCGATTTCGATGTGTCCAACCCGATCCGGATGGTCTCCGATAGCCTCCGGGATCTCGAAGCCTCCGTCGTCCAGATCCTAGGCCAGTCCCGTCACGTTCTATCCTTCGCTCGCTTCGCTCACCGGTAAATTTTCCTTCGCCGCTGCTGACCTTTTTATATGAACTGTGGACTGACGAATCCGACTTTTGGCGGCGAAGGTATGGGAGAAGGTACCAGAGCGCGGAGGAGATGAAGCACCGATTCTCAATTTTCATGGAGAATTTGGATTTGATCAGATCCACCAACAAGAAAGGCTTATCTTACAAACTCTCTGTCAATCGTAAGTTCATCTTCATCTCGAGTAATGACAGTGAGTGTGATATGATTGCTTTTGGTTGTCTGGGTCTAGTTCTGGGGTAATAGATGATTCAATTCTTTTCAACCAATTAGCAGCTGAGCTGAGAGCAGTTTGGCCAATGCATCCCAAAAAGGGCTGAGTGAAAATGCCAAAAGAACTTGTATGTGCGGAAAGAATAGGAGAAAGTGGTGAAACATCAATAATGGTATTGAGTTTCCAATGTGTAAAATTTATAGAGAGGCTTATTTGGGAGGAAGTCTAATGATTAACACGTTCTGTTTGTATAGGTTTAAGTTGTCGTAGTTCAAGGCGATTATCGTTTCTTGTGGACTATGAATCGCAAGAAAAGAGAATGCGTAAGCATACTAGTAGAGGCCTATGTATGAAGTTGTTTGCTGTGGCCAGGGATTGATAATGGAAATTATCAAAGCTCATGTAAAAGATTGTGTTTTCAGGCCTTTAGTATTATTGGTGTTATCCCCTTTTGACCCCTAAAACTTAATCACTTGTATTGTATTACGGTACAAGCAAAAGGAATCCGAGAACTTAATCACTTGTATTACGGTATCACTTGTATTACTGTATTACAGAGAGGCTCAGATGGTTCATTCCATTGAACCCATTACCTGAAAATATTCTCGTGCAGGCTTCTTTTGTCGGGGATTTTGTTGTTTTCAGTTTTGAATGGGGTTGACTTTCTGTTACAAAAAACCTCTGGTAACTACAAAATAAGAGATAGCTTTGTTCTTAGGGCAGTCTTGCAATGTGTGAGGAGTGATTCTATACCCACCTAAATGCTGCTAATGTCTCTGAGTCCATACAGAATATGCTGATATGACCTGGGAAGAGTTTGGAAGGGAGAGGCTTGGAGCTGCTCAGAACTGCTCTGCCACCTTAAAGGGCAATCACAAGCTCACCGATAATACTCTTCCAGAAACGGTTTGTAACGAGTCAATTTCTGTTGTTCTGAACTATGACCTTCCTGTTCTCCAGCTCTAGCTTCTGAAGATAGAAAAGTTTCTGCCAGATCAATTTTATTTCATGATACATCTAAAGCGATGATTTGCATTCCTCAAAATTGGGAAAAGGAAATAGATATATCCATACAAGTCAAACCTGAGCTTTCTTACTGTACAAACTGCAGAAAGACTGGAGAGAAGATGGCATAGTCAGTCCAGTCAAAGACCAGGGCAAATGTGGATCTTGCTGGACATTCAGGTGAGTCTATGATAAGAGAACTCTAGTCCTTCTAAAACCTTGGATTTGCTCATTGAAAGATTAGGGTTTCTAATGTATGATCGATTTTCACGTGCAGCACGACTGGAGCTCTCGAGGCGGCTTACCATCAGGCATTCGGAAAGGGAATTTCGCTTTCTGAGCAACAGCTTGTGGATTGTGCTGGTGCTTTCAACAACTTTGGTTGCAATGGTGGACTTCCTTCCCAAGCTTTTGAGTACATCAAATACAACGGTGGCCTTGACACAGAAGAGACTTACCCCTACACCGGGAAAGATGGTATCTGCAAGTACAAAGCTGAAAACGTTGGTGTGAATGTCCTCAACTCTATCAACATCACCCTGGTACGTATCTATCATTTTACTCCTGCTTGTATTCAGTATTTTTCTTTCTCATTAGCCGTGATTTAATCTGTTGCGGGAAAAAAAACACAGGGTGCAGAAGATGAACTGAAGCATGCAGTAGGATTGGTACGGCCAGTGAGTGTGGCGTTTCAGGTTGTGGATGATTTCAGATTGTACAAGAAAGGAGTTTACACCAGCAAAACCTGTGGAAACACTCCAATGGTGAGACTTCTACAAATCCTGAAAATCTCGATATGTCTCTCTCGGACCAACTCTCGACGATGATTGATGAACGGGACGGATTTTACTCTCTCGAAACATATCTGGGTTAGGGTTCGAATCTCACGATGTTATTTTGGCTCCGGGGGGTTTTGGTGAAACAGGATGTGAACCATGCTGTTTTAGCAGTTGGGTATGGAGTTGAAAACGGTGTCCCGTATTGGCTGGTGAAGAACTCGTGGGGAGCTGACTGGGGAGACAACGGCTACTTCAAGATGGAAATGGGGAAGAACATGTGTGGTAAAGTCCTTCTAACCATCCGAAAAATCCGCATCTTTTAACCATAGTCCGATCCATTAGTTAGCGTGAGATGAAAACTGGTAAGAAACCAGAAAAGAGAGAGGGGACAGGCAGACAATGACATATGGAACGTGTTCTTTATAGATATGGGTTTTGATTGATTTTGCAGGTATTGCGACATGCGCTTCATACCCGATTGTGGCGTAAGGCTTTTGGTTAGTGTTTTGGATCCGATTAAATACCAAAATCACTTGGAAAAAAAAAGACTTCATTTGCATAAAGAATGTTCTTTATGTGTTTGCAGTGTTTCTATTTGTAAGATAAGCCCTATTCTGGTTTATTTCTAATGTAAAACGATACAACACGTTATAAAATAATCACATGGCTTTTTTATTATCAGTATTGGTGGATATTTTAGGGAAAAAAAAAACCAAAATCACTAGAAGTAGATTTCATTTGCATAAATTATATTCGTATGTATTTGCAGTTCTGTCTGTAGGACAAGACTTGTTCTGGTTTATAACTAATGAAAAATGGAAAAGTATATAATAAATTTAATAATAAAAGATAAAAAAAGAAAAATATATAATAAATAGCACATGGCTTAATTATAAGTAAGGTTGGATATTTGGGGTGTTCATGTTTTGGTTAGAGTTGGGTTTTTCGATTTTAGAAAGACTATCCACATTCAGTTTTTTATTGACAAAAATATTTATTTTTTAAAAAAAATATTCAGTTTTCTTCGTTTTTTAAAATGTTTATACCTGTTCAATTTTAATATTAAATTCAACTTGGATACGTATGTGTGATATTGGGATTGGATCGATAATCAGTCGGGTTTCTATTTGATCCGAAAAATAAATTGTTGCTTCTTGGGTTCGGAGGCGAAGAATTTTTGACACACGGATTTTTAGATACCTATCTATCTTACGGGATGTTCGATTTTTGGATACTCAAAAGAGATAGAGATATCTCCGTTATTCATTAACGGATTATCTCGCAAAGAGTGGTCCATCCGGATTCGGACCTCCACCCTATAAATCACATAATTATAAAAAAAAAAATCTGTTTTCATATAAAACTGTCTGTATTATCTAAAGTCAACCGAAGTTTGTAAATTTTGACGGGGTTAGATATTCCAAACGTCATACTGAAAGAATGTTTAAAGAAAATCCACAAAAACAAAACCTAAACAAAATATTCAAAAATCTGGGTAAATGGCCCATATCTAGATATATTAATCGGGCCGGTCCGAATTCGCATTTAACTCGAGGGTTTTAAGTTCGAAATCCGATCCTATATACTTTGAAATTGGATTCGGACCGAGTCGGGTCAACCCACTAAATTTTGTTCTTCCAATATTTTTTTTTGTTTTTTTTTTAATCGGACTTTCAAACCGTCACAAAATTCAATCTGAACGCGATCTGAAAACTCAAAAATTTTCAAATCTAAATATCTCGATCCGAAATCTATTATTTTTAAAACTGAACCGAACTAAATTACGAGTTTCTAACCAAAATTGACACCCCCAAGCATATAGCGTTTACCATATTTGCGAGACATGACTTCACTGAGCTTCTTCTTTTAATCAAAAGTGACCTAAAATGATTTTCAAACTTTGAAAAAAAAAATTACAAAGGCTTTTTATGGTTTTCCCCAACGGCTAAGGTTTTGAATGAAGATGGCTTTTATTTTGGGTTTTTGGTTTTAGTTTTTGGATTTTGGTTTTTAGTTTTTGGCTTTTGGCTTTTGCATTTTATAATATTTGAAAACTCAAAAAAGTAGCTTTTGGTTTTTCATTGATTTTTTCACTAAAATGGCTTTCCAAGTTTTTAGGAAAAGTAATTTTGTAAAAATTTGAATGTTGTTTTTTTTTGTTTTTGGATTCTAAAAACTCCAAAAACTCCTACCATTCAAGGCCTGAGTAAATTATTTTTCTTTTCTTTCTCATCGCCACGACACCACAAACACAACACGTTCCTTCTCTCTCCACTAAACATGGCCGAGTCACCCTCCGAGTCAACCTCCGACTCGCCCACCATCACCACACACTCAAACGCCGCAGAAACCGCCATCGCATCTATTTCTACGCCCCGTTCTCACCATGCCGTCCCCGATATCCCAATCGAGCTCATCGGCGAAGAAGAAATGGCCCTCCTCGATGCCGCCCTTGCTGCCACTCGCGCCATCCTCTCTCCCTCGCTCCGTTCTCCCTCTTCGTCTCGGGTCCTCTCCGTCGGTAGCTCCAGGTCTATCCGTTCCATTACCCTCTTGTCCAAGAGGAAGATCTCTGGTTGTACGGACATGGAGGACTCGTATCTGCATCGGTTTAGAAGAAATCAGGCTCTGGGTGTCACGGATCTCACCGGAACAGTACGACCGATCCCTCCTTTTGTCGTTTTCTTGGGATAATTTATTGGAAAATTTTGTCTATAGATAGACCCATATCACGGGAAGACCTGGTTTCTCAAAAGGTTCATATCTTTCTCAATGATTAATACTGTTAGGAATTGTTCATATATTCTGGAAAGGTCGTAGTATATGATCTTCAGAATACGTGGATTCTTCGGTTGTTGGCTTCAGTTTGTGTTGAGCACTGGAAAATGAGACGGCAATTTTCTTGGATCAGCCCTTATCTCCTTGTTGCACAATGCGTAGTATTGAACTGTTGAACTGATTTGTGTGGATACGTTGGACAATCTTAAGTTGTAGCATGTGTTTTTTTATGGTCTGCTTTCGAATTCGTGACATTGGTATCGGATCAATACGTGTTAGTTCCCGAGGTTATGAAACAAATCCAGACCTTTGAGACGTTTTCTTGAGTAGTTTTTTCCCCTTGTCGTAGGAATGGTGTGAGAAACAGATGGAGAATGTTCTTCTTTTGGGCAGAAGAAAAGTCAGCAAAGCCATGAAACTTGGTCAGGCCCGCCACTTAGAGCTTGAGGAGGAGGTATGATAAGATCTCAGGCTACACTGTTTTCTGGATAGTTTCTTTGAAATCTTCTGATTTCTGTTCTGATGTAAATTGATAGGTTGTTAGAAGAATCAAAGTAAGAGTTGAATCAACTGAAGATAAGTGGGCTCTCAAGCTCGCAAATTCCATTGCAGGGGTGAATCAGTTCTTGTTTGAAGGACTTACCCGCGAATTGCCACTGTGAGTTTCCCATTAGTTGTCTTATCTTCCCTCCAAAAGTTTGAAACTTTGAGTAATCCAGATTTGTGCTTTTGTACGATGCATCTATTTTGGCCTTCATGATTGTTTTACCGCCACTTTCTTCTGCATCTCTGGCCTTTGCATAATATATCCATGGCAGACGATTCATACATGATGTCATGATCTTTATCATCTTAGCTTAGGATTTGTGGAAGGTCAATGGATTGTGGGGATCATTGATGAGGTCAGAAAGCCGCCTACAGAGTCTTCTGATAGCTGCCCGTTATTGATAGACACAAAGACTCGTCACCGTGACACACTACCAGCTGAACCTCAAAGGAGGAACGGAAAGTGAGTACACATAAAATGATTCTTAACATGATCTTAACTCTAGTGAGGTAAGTGCCAATTGATTAATCGTTGAATCGGATCTTTGCCACAGGCTTCAGTTAATGCTGTACAAGCTTGTATGGGACACTTTAGTTACCACTGGCTTTCCATCAAGACCCTTTTTCAGATACTTCTCTTTGAATCCTCACGAGGTTTTATCCCGAGAAGTCAGAGATAACATGGCTAATGCCGGAATCACAGCACAGGTAAACTAATGCTTACGAAACTGAATTTACAGTCCTTGCATGTTATCTGCATACCTCTGAATAAGACATGACTTGTGTGATTGGATATAACGGAAAAGTCTTCAACTTTCAGATGGGGATTTTTTACGATTTTTAGATTCCTGCAGACTCTGGAAGAAGTAGTTGGATACTACGAGAATACATTTAAGATGCTTGCGATAGCTCAGGACCAGTTACTACTTAGGTAAGAAGAGAACAACTAATGGTAGGCAAAAAGCTATTTGCTTTTCAATTCTCTTATCAACCATGTCGGTATCTTGCTGCTCAGGTACGAGTTTCAGAAGGATCAGTCACTTCTAGCCGAGATCAGATTCGACTATGACCGAGAATGGACCATCAGAAAATTCGGAGAAATCCTTGACTTCTGGAGAGGTGAAAGGGAGGCCGAGTACACGCCAGAAGAAGAACGGTGGAAATGTCGGTATTGCCAGTTCGCTTCTGCTTGCCCGGGAAACCCTAATCTAGATTCTTCTGCCTCTTCTCCGAGCTCACCTCCGAGAGAAACCCCTTTAGCTAGCTAGAAGAAGAGATGACACTTTGAGGTGTTGTTCTCCAAAGGTGTTAACAGGGTTCTCACACATTTACTTCTCTACCCTTTGATTGGCAGCATTTTAAATTGTTTCGGTATACCATCCGTTTAGTGTTCTTGTATTGGTTATATCATTTTCCTATTGTTGTACATATGTTAATATGTATACCATTGTTCTCCGGTTTGCTATCTGTACCGAGGTCTGATCGGTATAATGATGTTATATTATTCTGATATACCATCGGTTTGGTATTCTTCTATTGGTTATCTATCATTTTCTTTATAACATTTCTTTGTGTTATACTTATGTTAATCTGTATACCATTTATTGTCCAATTTGGTAATTGTATCGAGGTCTAGCCGGTATATCATGATTCAATATATCAATGTTAAATAGTTCCGGTTTACCATCGGTTTAGTGTTTCTATTATTTTCCTTGTGTTGTACATATGTTAGACTGCATACCATTATTGTCCGGTTTGGTACTTGTACCGAGGTTTGATCGGTATACCATTTTTTGATATATTGATTTTAAATTATTTCGGCTTACCATCGGTTGTGTTCTTCTACTGGTCATCTATCATTTTCCTTGTGTTTTGTACATATGCTAATCTTTATACAATTATTGTCCGGTTTGATACCTATAACGAGATCTGACAGGTATACCATGAATCAAAATAACATTGTTAAATTATTCCGGTTTACCGTCGGGTTAGTGTTCTATAATTTTTCTTGTGTTGTACATATGTTATTCACCATAACACTATTGCCGGTTTGATATCTCTCTCGAGGTCTAATCCGTATAGCATGATTCGGTATACAATGCTAAATTGTTCCGGTATATCATCGGTTTAGTGTTTTTCTATCGGTTATATATATCATATTGTTGTGCCGTACACATGTTAATCTGTATACCACTATTGCCCGGTTCGGTTTGGTACTTGTACTGACAACTGATCAGTGTACCGATGATAAATTATTCTGGTTTACCATCGGTTAAGTGGTAACATCCTATCTATGGGTTGAGATTTTTTCTGGTGATCTTTTGCCATTATGATAAGATGTAATATATCACCCTTGTTCTTTACTTGACAGTCCAGTCCTTATGGTTTCCCCAAATAAATTTTCCGCTATTCACAACACTTCTTTTTCTCGCCCATTGTTTATCTATTTATTTATTTAAAAAATAGTCTAACGCTAAAATGTTGAAGGGTATAATGGTCTTTTAATGCCGCAGAGGAAAACGGGCAAGCCCTAGTGCTCCACTGTATAAATACCGTGCGATGTCTGATATTTAGGTTGCGCTCTTATTCCTTTCGTCGCCGCACTTCTTCTGTCGGATTCTTCCTCGCAGGTTAGAACTCTGCTCCTCACTTTTCTGATTCGCCATTTGAAGTGATTCTCGATTTCGTTTTTTGGTTGCGTCTCTTCTCCCTTTTAACATATAATTCTTCGGATCGCTTGGAGTTTTTGTTTTTAGGAGGTTTTTGGATTCTAGGTCGTATGCTCCTGTGGTCTTGGTTATGGCTTGAGCCGTGTTTCGATCTCTTTGTTTCTGGTTTCGGCTTGGTGATCGTCTCGTTCGAGGTTTTCTTTAATATGTTGTCATGCGCTCGTCTCATCTCTTTCTGAGTTCTAGAAACTCAGATGATAATGGCGTCGACGTGTCGATATAAATCGTTGCGAGGTGTTTGTTTCTGTATCTATCGATTGTCTTGCTTACCCCCGTCTTGTCTTGTTGGTTAATATATGTTTTCACTGTTCTTTGTGTTCTATATGTGGTCAGGTGTTCGATCTTTTTTTGAAAATAAGATGCCTATTTTTTTTGAAATAAACGCAACTGAACTATTTCTGGATTATACTGTCCTTTGTTGTTGTTTGTCTGCTTTAGTTTGTTGTTTCCTTGCTGTAGTGGTTATATAATGTTACCTCATAGGGTTGTATTTACAGACCTGCAGAATTTTGGCTCATGTTGTCTCGGGTGTTTCAAAATGATATGTACTTCTTGATGAATTGATTGTGATGTGATTTAACAGCTTCTGCATAACATATCTCTTGATTTTGATAAATGTTGGATGGTTTATGTCGTGTATGATGGTTGCTGTCTTCTTGTGGTGGTTGCGTTGCAGTTTCTTTTTGAGGATCAGCTATGGGTAAAGAGAAGGTTCACATCAACATTGTGGTCATTGGCCATGTCGACTCTGGAAAGTCGACCACCACTGGTCACTTGATCTACAAGCTTGGTGGTATTGACAAGCGTGTCATCGAGAGGTTCGAGAAGGAAGCTGCTGAGATGAACAAGAGGTCCTTCAAATATGCCTGGGTGCTGGACAAGCTTAAGGCCGAGCGTGAGCGTGGTATTACCATTGACATTGCCCTCTGGAAATTTGAGACCACCAAGTATTACTGCACCGTCATTGATGCTCCTGGACACCGTGACTTTATCAAGAACATGATCACGGGGACTTCCCAGGCTGACTGTGCTGTCCTTATCATCGATTCCACCACTGGTGGTTTTGAGGCCGGTATCTCCAAGGATGGTCAGACCCGTGAGCACGCTTTGCTTGCGTTCACCCTCGGTGTCAAACAAATGATTTGCTGCTGCAACAAGGTCAGCCATTTCCTCTACAGGATCATGATCTAGTAACTAGTTTTCTCTTGCTTGTTTTGCTTACATTCTCATTTTTTGTTTCTGTTCCAGATGGATGCTACCACCCCCAAGTACTCCAAGGCTAGGTATGATGAAATTATTAAGGAAGTAGCTTCCTACCTGAAGAAGGTTGGTTACAACCCTGACAAGATCCCGTTCGTTCCCATCTCTGGTTTTGAGGGTGACAACATGATCGAGAGATCCACCAACCTCGACTGGTACAAGGGACCCACCCTCCTTGAGGCTCTTGACCAGATCAATGAGCCCAAGAGGCCATCAGACAAACCTCTCCGTCTCCCTCTTCAAGATGTCTACAAGATCGGTGGTATCGGAACTGTCCCTGTGGGTCGTGTCGAGACCGGTGTAATCAAGCCTGGTATGTTAGTGACCTTTGCTCCCTCTGGACTAACCACTGAGGTTAAGTCCGTCGAGATGCACCACGAGGCTCTCCTGGAGGCTCTCCCTGGTGACAATGTCGGATTCAACGTCAAAAATGTCGCTGTCAAGGATCTCAAGCGTGGATATGTCGCATCAAACTCGAAGGACGACCCGGCCAAGGAAGCAGCCAGTTTCACCTCCCAAGTCATCATCATGAACCACCCTGGTCAGATTGGAAACGGTTATGCACCGGTTCTCGACTGCCACACCTCCCACATTGCCGTGAAATTTGCCGAGCTGTTGACCAAGATTGACAGGCGTTCGGGGAAGGAGCTGGAGAAAGAGCCGAAGTTTTTGAAGAACGGAGATGCCGGGATGGTGAAGATGGTTCCGACAAAGCCGATGGTGGTGGAGACATTCTCGGAGTATCCTCCTCTTGGGCGGTTTGCGGTGAGGGACATGAGGCAGACGGTGGCTGTGGGAGTCATCAAGAGTGTCGAGAAGAAGGACCCCACCGGTGCCAAGGTGACAAAGGCCGCTGCCAAGAAGGGTGCCAAATGAGACTGATGATCTCTCGTCTCCTTTTATTATTTTTGGTTTGCTTTCCAGTTTTAATGGTTTCAGGTGTTTTGCGACTTCTGTGAACAATTTACATTTTTATTAGTTGCATTTTCGGACCTTTGCGTCTATTTGGTTTAATTGTTTCCACCATTTTTGTTCAATTTAGGCTCATAGATTTTCTGAATAATCGGTTTATCCGTTTGGTCGGGGTATTGGAATTTTGGTTAGTCGTCTTTTGGTAGGCTAAGTACGGATGAGAATTCGGTTGTCGTATTTGAGTTTAGGTCTATTTGCACACGAATACCAAGTTGTCCGAGGGGGACAGAGGTTTGAGGTGAGTTTCATTTTTGGTTCGGTTTGCATTCGGTTATTAAGAAAATGTTAGTTTTATTTTGGTTTCACGTTGGATCCGGTTTGAATTTGTTTTGGTTTTGGTTTAAATTCAGTTTTTAATGATATTTTTAGAAGAAAATTTACAATTTTTTTGTTGTTATTTTTGCATTCGGTTCGGTTTATATCAGATTTAGTTTAATTCGATACGGATTGGTTCGGTTTACAAGGTATCAAATTGGTTCGGTTTAGAAATAATCTAACCGAATGCCCAAAAAAACGATTTCACTTGAGAGATTTTAAGCGAAACGAATACGAATCTGTCGTTCACTAGAAATCTGGGTTTCATTTGGGAGATCGCAAAACATGCGGGCTTTCTTAAAACTTTGGGAAATATTATAAACCGACACCAATGAATGATCCGACGGCTGAAATCAACGCACAGGATTCGCTCCGGGTCCTGACGTGGCGAAATCACAACACACCAGAAGATACGGCGAATCGACGACTCTGTCACGCTTGCACCAAACATGGTCAAGAATCGAAACCGAAGTCGTCTAATAAGGTCAGGTGAGGTGTACTTTGCATACATTGCACGTGAGCACAGTGAAACTTAACCCCGGACGTATTGCTGTCGCTAAACCGGATTTGATTGTCCGCGATAGGACCGACTTCCCTCCCTTTGTTCCTCGTAGGAAGATCGTTTCTTCCGTCACGCTCCTAGAAGGAGAGGCCCCGAAGGCGGGAGATAGAAAAGACGAATCAAAGATTATTGAACAATCGTGCCGGAAAAACCCTCTTTGATTAATCAGTCTCCAGATGTTTTGATGTGCAGTGTCCCATCCCTGGGTTCGTTTTTCTTTTCTGTTTCGATGATTCTTTTGTTGTCGTTTTTTTTTTCATTTTTGAATTATCTTCTGAATGATCGTCCATTTGCTTGGTTTCTCGTTGTTTAGATCGGCTGCTGCATGGAGACTATACGCTGTGAACTTGTCGGCTCTGTCACTGATTGTTCGAGTTTTCGGCTGCTTAGTTTGGATTAAGCTGGTGTTTCTCGTAGTTGGGGGGTTAAGACATGGATTTGGTAACTACTTGCAAGGTATTCCCAGCAAATTCTTTGTTTGTAGATGCGAAATTGTTCGGATACGAGTTCTTTTACTGGGTTGGTTACAAGTGTTAATGATCGCTTGATGATGGTTTAGCGTGCAAAGGTGTAAAAATGGCTTCTTGGTCATATTAGTACACTCCGTGTTGAAAATATTGATGCTTATTTGGAGCATATACATGCTTCTGGCTTCCACAATGTATCCTTTTACTTATCTATTGTTGTGTAAGGCCAACAAGTGTTAACCTTTATTATTTGAGAATTTTCTAGGCTGGGCTGGCTGTGTGGTTTATCTGAGCAAAATTGCTCATTGTCAATTTCTGGTGGTCAGAGATTTAGCTTTGCCATCGCGAGGTGTAAGGTTCTGGTTCAGGGCTCGTAATGAATGATTCCAGACTGATCTTCTGCTTTGGACATTTTTTCACCTGTTTGTTGCTAGTTGTTGATGTTTAGAATAATAAGAAAACGTAGCAAGGAACATCAGAAAAATGGATTAGGTAGCCTTCCCCATGTAGGAATAGAGGTTTTAGTTTCGCCTCCATCTTAGTTTTCGCGGGTCAGGTCAAACTCGAAGTTTTTAACCTGATATCTTTGCAGGATAAACTTGAATCTTTACGGGTTAAAGAACTAAAGGATGTCCTTACTCAGCTGGGACTCTCAAAACAGGGAAAGAAACAGGTTAGAACTTTGTGTAAATTTTGCGCTCTATAAACTTCTGCCTACTTTGCAGAAAATTGTCATTCCACTTTATGGACTACTACAACATTTTTCAGTTCCCAAGTTGATCTTTTGGCAATTTGTTCGTGTAGGACCTTGTTCAACGGATTTTGGCCATTCTTTCGGATGAACAAGGTAATGGAAATTATTTATTTCTGCCTTAAGAGTAATATAATTAAAAATTCAAGATAGCTCTACACACTGCTGATAAGCTATTGTCTACATTGCCTGTCGACAGCTGCCAGGTTATGGTCTAAGAAAAATGCTGTGGCAAAAGATGAGGTTGCAAAAGTAGTCGATGATACATATAGGTGTGCTATGCTACGTTTTCGCAAACTACCAAGTATTTGCTTAATGATTAGTAGTGATACACCTCCCTTTAGTACCATAATTAATTTGTGTGCTCCACAGGAAAATGCAAGTATCTGGGGCAATTGACTTAGCATCGAAAGGACAAGTTGGCTCGGACATCAGTAATGTGAAGGTTAAGGGGGAAGTGGAAGATCCCTTTCAATCAGCTATTAAAGTTCGGTGTCTTTGTGGAAGTTCTCTGGAAACAGACTCAATGATACAGGTAACCAGAAATAGCTATCCTGTCCAAATTCACAGTAAGCCTCTCTGATTTTACTTATCATTTGTTAACTTTCAGTGTGAGGACTGGAGATTCTTTTTAAAATGTATGATGGTTTTTTTTGTCACCCCTACTGATTTTCCTTATCATTTGGCAACTTTCAGTGTCAGGACCGGAGATGTCGCGTCTGGGAGCATGTTGGCTGTATTATTATCCCGGAGAAGCCTATGGAAGGAAATCCACTTCTTCCCAACTCATTTTATTGCGAACTTTGCAGACTTACCCGAGCTGACCCGTGAGTATATCGATAGTTCCTCTACTCTAATAATGTGAATGTTGGGTTAATAGTTTATATTTTATTCTTTCCTCCTCTCACACCATGATTATCCTCTATTAGAATTTCTGAAGAGAAGAAATTTTAAACTTCACACAGTCTTCCTTTCATCGTTTCGCTGTCCTTATGTCTTTCACGATTGTCTTATCTGAAAACTGGTTTAGGATTTGGTCACTAGATCTACTTAGGTTCTCTAAATTTCCCTCTTGATTTAACCTAATTACAGCAATGCTCTCATGGTCTTTCCTCGACAGATTTTGGGTTACCGTGGCACATGCACTCATTCCGGTGAAGTTGATTGCTACAACTGTCCCAACTGATGGGTGAGTATGCCATATTTGATATGCTGCTGTCATTGAAATTTATAATTTGTGCATTAGCCCTTATTCAAAATGACATTGTTGGCTTTGTTTGTTTGGAAAACTAAAGCATTTCAATAGATGTTTGTAAACAATATTTCAGCTGCCTGTTTCATCCTGCATTTAAATAGGTTTATGATGTTATTTCTTCCTTTGTTCTTTTGTCAGTTATGAATTTTGTTATGAATCATCAGCATCGTGTGAATTAATATTATTGATGGGAAGACCTTGTATTATGAGAATAAGACAGAACAGTGGTAGACTAAAGTGTCTAGCACTGGTATTGTTTGCAGAGAGTTGAGGGGTTAGTGGACTGCCTTCTTCCTAAATGTTGTGTGGCCTTTCAAACTCAGATTTATAGAAATCATATATTCAAGTGTCTAGAGTAGAAGAACAATTATTGTTTCCTCGGATAGATGCGCAATATGTGCTTACAAAGCATTGCAACTGATCTATTTGTTCTACTTCTCCGGTCAAAAATGTTCCAGTACAAACCCAATGCAAGGTGTGGAGAAAACATTTCAAATCACAAGGGCAATGAAGGACTTGGTGGCCAAACAAGAGTATGGTGTTCAGGTTGTTGGTTTCTTAACTAGTATAGTTAACTTTATCATCTATTTATATAGTCTCTAATTGGCAGTTCATGTTGTTTCTTTTCAGGCATGGTGCATGCTTTTGAATGACAAAGTTCAGTTCAGGATGCAGTGGCCACAATATGCTGATCTGCAGGTCAATGGTATGCCAGTCACATCCTTTGCAATTTGGTGTAATATGTAAAGTTTCAACCTCATAATTTTATAAATGTTTCCTTAGAACTTGAGGAATGATGGGTTTCTTGAATATAGTTATAAGCTCACTAGTTTGTTTATGCACTAAATTTAAGTCCATAGAATTTGTCCTTTTCGTTTCACTTTCACTCTTAGCACAATATCATAACTTTCTTGTTATTGTAAAGCAGAATCTTTCTGTGTAGGATTCCTAATTTCCTACTGATATGAGTGAGATTCATGGCAAATTGTTTACCTGTTATAGGTTTGCCTGTCCGTGCCATTAACCGACCTGGGTCACAGCTTCTAGGGGCCAATGGACGTGATGATGGACCAATTGTATGCTTTCTCAATAGTGGTCCTTTGTGCTTGATCCCTTTCTCATATGCCACTTTGATCAAAGACTTGTAACTAATGATGCCTAACTCGTGTTCCTTGTTTTGGCACTTGCCAGATTACACATTGCATTAGGGATGGCGTTAACAAGATCTCCTTAAATGGATGTGATGCTCGTGTTTTTTGCTTTGGTGTTAGACTTGTGAAGCGAAGAACTCTTCAGCAGGTACTTTTAGTTAGTGAGCGGATGATATTGTTTGGAAAATGTTACAAAACTGTTCTGTGGGGCAATGAACACATGGATGCACAAATACAACCTGATTGTGTGTAGATAAAACTCAAAATTTGTACCACGAGAAATTCTCAATCTGTGTGAAGCCCTGCCGTTGATCTATAGTATATGAGCATGCTTGACTGCTTGTCTTGTTACTTCTATTTCCGATCTTGTTATTTCTATTTCCGTCCAAATTGTTTGAAAATTATTATACAGAAATTTTTATCAGATATCAATTTTATAGGGCCTCAGCTTGCGTAACTGGACGTGTTTTCCTGCGACCTGTAATGAGGAATCAAACGTGTTCTTGTGTAATCCATGGATGAAAAATCAAGGCTTCACTTTAAGTTAATGTCGCCAAGTTAGTGTAGCCTTATGCTACAACATATTTTCCCCTTTTTTCCCGTTAACTGTATTCATGACCATTTCTAGAAGAGTGATATTTCTTGTGCCTTGTATCCTAGGAACAAGGTTATTTGTTCTTCAAATTCTTGGCTGAAACCTTATTCTTGTTTTTCTCTCTTAGGTTCCTTCATATTTACTTCTATTTTGTTCCAGGTCCTAAATATGATTCCGGCGGAGGCCAAAGATGAGCCTTTTGACGAGGCTCTTGCCCGTGTTCGTCGATGTGTAGGAGGTGGAACTGGAGATGATAATGCTGACAGTGACAGTGACATTGAAGTCGTTGCAGATTACTTCACTGTCAATCTCCGTTGTCCTGTAAGTCACTTCAGTAGCTCAGCTTTTATACCTTGCAACCATACATGTAGGTGTTGTTGTATATCTCTTATGAGTTATATGATGGTTAATCAACAACGTTGCCCTATGTGACAATCTGGGCATTTGGTTTGTGTGCTCTCTCTGGTGTATGTGTGTCCCTATTTTCGATACTGATTTATTATAGTCACCCTTTCTGTTTGCATTATTAGATGAGCGGTTCCAGGATAAAAGTTGCTGGAAGATTTAAACCCTGTGCACACATGGGCTGTTTTGACCTTGAGGTGTTTGTGGAACTGAATCAACGCTCGAGAAAGGCAGGTGTCTTAACGTAATCCAGATAAATCCGGGATATCCTTTATATCTGCTTAATCTATCCTTCTGTTTTTTTGCATAACTGCAGTGGCAGTGCCCTATTTGCCTGAAGAACTACTCGCTGGAGCATATAATTATGGACCCTTATTTTAATCGTGTCACATCTAAGGTAGATTCCCAAATCCGGATTATCGTCTAGCTAGTACTTTTTATTTGATGCATTGAGGATTGTTGTGGTCTACCCGCATTACAGATGAGACATTGTGATGAAGATGTGACTGAAATCGAAGTGAAGCCTGATGGTTCTTGGCGTGTGAAGTCCAAAAGAGAAATGGGTGAACTCACACAATGGCACTTGCCTGATGGTAATTTCTGCCCTTCTCCTGATGAGGTTAAATCCAATGTGGAAACGTTCACCGGAGTTAAACAAAAAGGTTGTTCGGATGGTCTGACTGGTCTGAAACTTGGAATAAGGAAGAATCACAACGGCGTTTGGGAAGTTAGCAAACCTAGTACGAATGGTTTTTCTTCCGGTAGCAGAGAAGAGAAGGTTCAATATCAGGAGCATAACATCAAACCGATGAGTAGTAGTGCAACTGGAAGTGGTAGGGATGGTGATGACCCGAGCATAAATCAGGAAGGTGTCAGACCCTTTGATTTTGCAAACAACCAGATCGAACTTGATTCCATGTCCAGAAATGTTGATTCGGGTTATGACTTCACTGACAGGAATCAACCTGCAGCAGCTAGAAACTCGGAAGTCATTGTTCTTAGTGATTCAGACGATGAGAATGTCCTGATCGCATCTGAAGCTGCCCACAAATGCAATCAAACTGTAAGCCGGGTAAATTTTCAACTCCACCCATCTGGTATGATGAATTCCTATAATGAAGACCCGAACACATTGGCTGGGGCCAATTCGGGTTTGGATCTTTTCAACGTCGATGATGATGATTTCGGTATGACCCTTTGGCAGTTGCCTCCTGAAATCCAAGGAGGTCCAGGGTTCCAAATATTTGCACCTGATACCGACATCTCGGGTGGTATGGTCCCTGTGATGAATGGTGGGTTCACCGTGGCTCCGGATAAATCAATGGCATCTGTACCTATGGTTCCAGACTCGGTTGTGAGATCTGAACCCAACACAAACAATGGCTTAGTTGACAACAATCCTCTGGCATTTAGCAGAGACGACCCTTCGCTTCAAATATTCCTACCGACAAGATCTGATGCCTTGGGTCAGTCTAATTTCAGAAACCAAGTTGACATGTCAAACAGTATTCGCAGAGATGATTGGATCTCGCTTCGACTTGGTGACAACGGATGTGGGAATCATGGAGGGGCGGCTCCTGCAAACGGGTTTAACCCGAACCAGCCAATGTCGGGGAGGAAAGACACATCGGATAACTTGACAGAGACTGGTAAGAATCTGGTTGGTGGTTATTAGCATTAGACACTGGTAAGAATCTGGTTGGTGGTTATTAGCATTAGACTTTTCTCTCATGTACAAGTCTTCTCGTATCTCTGCAGGTCTCATGGGTTTTTTGTTTTCCTGACTCCTAAGTTTGATGGGTTACTGACTGTGACTTACCTATTTGCAGGTTCATTGCTTCTGGGTATGAATGAGAGTAGACCCGAGAAAGTGAGCAGACAGAGATCGAAGAGTCAATTCTCGTTTCCTCGGCAGAAGCGTTCTGTAAGGCCCCGGCTGTTTCTCTCGAACAACTCGGATTCCGAGTAATATGAAATGAATGATATATTCTCCGGTGATACCCGCCTGAGTTCTCTCCACTCCCCCCTGTTGTTCTACTCGACCATATGGCCGGGGATGATTTTTCGGGTGTTGTTTGATTCTTACACCAACTCCACATAACAATCTTGAAGGATCAAACAGCAGGTGGGCACTGATTCTATGTGGTCGGCCCTTCGGAATCTGTGCACGGTGAGCGACTTTTCCGTTACGCTATATTCGGAGCTCGTCATTTACTTCCTCATGTTGAGAATGGAGGGGTTCGTGCGTGAAGCGGAGACTCATTCTTTATAAGTTCGTTGAAGACGGGAGAGGAAGTGCTGATTCCATAATTCTTTTTTTTATATATATATTGAAAATCTATAACTAAAGGGTTATTTGATATTAATTGGATATAGATCGGTTGGGTTTGGTTTTCAAATAATTGAACCATTGGTCCATCCCTAATTTTCGGGTTTTAAACTGGATTCATGGGTGTGGAATATGTGAAAATCGAGTACTCTATTGGATAAATACATTTTTTTGCTACATCCCTCTATATATGTATATATATATATATATGTATGCCTCTGTGGTTTTGATTATACTGTTTATACACATTGAGTATGGTTTACACCAAGGAAAACTCGTCCAATAATTGTATAGTATGACTGTTGGGAAATGGAAGACATTTTTTTTATTTGGATCGACAAAAAAGAGAGAATCTGTTGGTCAAATGTTCGATTCCTTACGGTGGGTAATGACGTAATTTCTAAGTTAAAAAAGTCTATATACAATTAAAGTTCTTCCATTATAAAAAAAATAAAGAAGACAGACTTTGCTCGGAAATGAATATATATATATATATATATAGTCTGGAGAATTTAGTTGAAAGAGACTTGAGTAGGAGGACCAAAGATAACATTTGTTCTCTTACTCAACAAAGATCCAATGGCTTCATTCCAAATTTGGTCAGCTAATATATGTGGGGTTTCCTCCTAAGTGTATTGATTAAAAATCAATCATGCATTAGGTGGAAAAGTAAATGGTGGGAAACACCATTATTGTGATGACAAATCATTAGACAAACTTTTGTCTAAAGTTGATGTGATCAAAGGCTACAAATGCAGAAGCTTTGGTCGTGGTTTAATAATCCAAGCAAGAAAAAATAGCAGAAAGAAGAAAAGAGAGAGTGGGAGAAAAGAGGGAGAGAAAACAGTTTGGTGCAGCTGTGATCAAAGCTTCGATCGGATGGTCATTCCTTGTCCGATCGATCTGGAATTTGGAGGAGAGCTTCTACACTCATTGTTCTAGGTTTTGTCCGGTGGAATTTTGATTCCAACGGTCAGAATTGGAGAAACGGAGTTTCTACCGAAGCTGTTCGTCATTGGAGCTTCAGCAGCACATGTCCGAGTAAGTTGAAGATTCGGATGCTCATCTCTTCTCCGTTTGAGCTGAAATTTGGTATGTTTATTCTACACCCTCTGAGCTTTTGATTTCTACGGAGAAGTTGGTATTTGGTTGCCGGAATCAGAAGTTACGGGGTTAGCTTGCTGCCTAAGTTACAGCTGGTTCTTTCGGGTTTATTGAGATTGAATATTGGTTAATATTCGGAAGTCTCGGGTGTATCTCTTGTTTATTGGAGACTGAAGTGTGGACGTTGTAACCCGGAAATTTGAGATTATAGTGGATTTTTGGGTGGACTACGGTCCCGTGGTTTTTACTCCTCACACCGAGGAGGTTTTCCACGTTAAAACGATTGTCTCATTTAAATTTCTGTTCTAACTAGATATTGTCATCCTAACGCGCTCACACAAGTAAGGGGTTCTTATTTACCGAATTGTGATTCACGGTAAAAACCCTAACAAAGTGGTATCAGAGCACCCTGGTTGTGCGGTGCACTTGTGTGAGTGATGGAGGCAAATACTAGTAGAATGGTAAGTTTGAACGGTACCAATTATCACGTATGGAAAGGCAAGATGGAGGATCTGCTATACGTGAAAGAGTGCCACCTACCGTTGTTCGTTGAGGAAAAACCGGAGGGCAAAACTGATGAGCAATGGACATTGCTACATCGACAAGTTTGTGCCTTGATACGACAGTGGGTGGATGATAACGTTCTGAATCATGTGGCTGGTGAAACTAATGCTCGGTCTTTGTGGAGTAAGCTGGAGCAGTTGTACGCTCGAAACACTGGAAATCGCAAGCTGTACTTCATCAAGAAGTTGGTCGATTTAAAGTACGCCGAAGGCAGTCCGGTGACAGATCACCTGAACGTGTTTCAAGGTCTGTTGAACCAGTTGTCTGATATGGGGATCACTTTTGAAGATGAGGTTCAGAGTTTATGGCTTCTCAGTACACTTCCGGATTCATGGGAGACATTCAGGATGTCGTTGTCGAATTCAGCTCCAGACGGTGTCATCTCGATGGAATATGCGAAGAACAGTATTTTAAATGAGGAGACGCGACGACAATCTCAAGGAGCTTCCTCGAGTTCTGATATTCTGGTATCTGAATCGAGGGGGAGGAGCCAGAATCGGAATCCGAAGGAGAAGAATCGGAGCAGGAGCAAATCTAACAAATTTGCAAATGTGGAGTGTCACTATTGCCACAAGAAAGGACATATCAAGAAGGATTGTTGGAAATTGAAGAAGGACAACAAGAAAGGAAATAAGCAACAAGACGGCGAGGAACGGGTTGCAGTTGCAAGACATGAGTTTCTGATCATGATCGATGGTGAAATAATCAACCTCGCATGCCATGAGACCAGTTGGGTGATTGACAGTGGAGCTTCTATTCATGCCACATCACGACGTGAATTCTTTGC